GACTTTTTGGGATGAGACTGTGTTATCTAAAGTGTTAACATTGTGAATTTTATCGCAAAATGTAGTTAATTATGGTGCAAAACATCTCATTTTAACAATGAAAAGTATACAGATAGTGATGTATGTCCAACAACAATAGATGTGCATTTCTGATCTACTGTCTAAACATAATATAACTTACTCTTTCTCATAATATAGTTAGTTTATATAAATATCGAAGGCTATATGCTTAATATGTAGCTCTGTTAAACATGTTTTTTATCAGGGGTCCCTGCTCCACTTCTCTATCACCTAAGCGGTCCTTGCCCTGAAAAACGTTGAAGACCCCTGCTTTAGAAGGACCTTCTGTTGGTCTTTCTGACATGTCTTGAACGGACCATCTGATTGGTCTATTGCGCTGCTCACACAGTTAATCCCACCTCTCGTTTTTTGGTGCATTCCGCATTTGCAAATCAGTCTGAATGAATAAATAATCGTGTTACTGGAAAGACTGATTAAAAAGTAGGTAACTCACCCACTTGATACCTGCACTTCGTCTCGTCACGTTCAATCTTGACATGACTTGTAAACGTGATCTGTGAGGATTTTTATTGAGCAATCAATCAGTTAGGTGAAATAAGGAACATATATTTCATATATAAATTAAATGTTACTGCGTTCTCATGTTTATTACTTTGGAATAGATGTAAAAATGATGAGAAGTCTTGATGAGAAATACACTTCACGTCACAATCACGTTAGTTTGGACTTATTATGATTCGTCATCACTCCGGCAATCTCCACCCGCCCTTAGGCTCTGACTACACCCTTAATAGCTCCACCTCAAGGGATTGATCTTACAGTGAGCAGAGTTCAATCATAGTCACTGATATAGTTACTTGCAGCAATAAAGCAATTGCTTTAGGCGAACTAGGTGGTTGCCTATAGGGCGACAAATGTGTTGGTCGCTCTTGGCCTACTTCCCATTAATCACAGCATTAGAACGACAAGCGAAACAAAAACATTTATTAAATATGATCATCCTATACAACTCAATTTCAAGTATAGAAACTAATTATGTATAGTAATACATATAGTACTAATTAATATTTAACTAATTATGAAAGTTTCCTTTATTTTTCAGTGCATTGGTTTTAATGTAAAGGGCCACAAAAACGATCCAAAGACGGCATTCGATTTGAGGCGAAGGTTTCAGACGTGTTCCATCTTTCCCATGGCAAAGTGATTTTTAATTAAATGCAACACTTTTAATCTTAAATATTAACTTGTTTCATCTAACTCCATAAAATGAAAAAGGTTTAACAATGATATCTGTGCATTACACTATGTTTGACAATTCCTTTTAACTCTAATGAAAATAAAGTCAAAGTCTGTTAGAATAATCAAATACAACAATTTATTATGTCAGGTAAATGTATCATTACAATTCCATAATCAAATTAAAGATAATCAATGCAAACCATCAAATGTTTCTAGAACAAAGAACTTTACCCAACATATTAACTACATGAATGCTGAGCCTTGAAGACACAGCATCATGGGCTGAACTCTTGTTGCATTTCTTCATATAGTCAATCCTCATTTCATATGTAAGTTCCAGTGGAAATTTACCAGTAACCATTTGCTTAGTTGTAATTTGCATTCAGCCAGAAGGTGTTAACTCAAAGACACACCCTTCTGTGTGCAAGATATTTCTATACTCTTAAGAACTTTATTACCTTTTGATTTACTTCTTTGGGAATGAGACATTATTACCAGTCACCCTGAGACCTTCAAAATGATTCTAAACAATCTTTAAAGATTATCACATTCATATTAAAACCATCTATATTCTTGTGAGAGTTTTCAGTGTTACTGACTGAGAGAGCGAGAGAAAATGTAGATAAGATGCTCAGAGGAAGGGGTGGGGGGGGGGGGGGGTCAAATGTTAATCTGCAAGCAATGCCATTTGTCTTCAGAGGGCACTGGTCAGATTGAGTGCCAGTTTTCCAATGGCTATTATTGTCATGGGATTAACTATTATTATGTAGTAATTATGTACTGTAGACAGACGCTGTAACTAAAAGAGTTGTTCAATTTGCACACTGAATATGGGTTGGAGCTTTTAACTTTGAACAATTTTTGACTGTATACCTTTCGAAATTAATAAATAAATGCACTGACTAAATCAGTTGTGGCTGTGAGTAACCACAGCAACAGGCAGTCAAAGTATCCGTTTACAATTTATTGTATCAAAACAAACATCTAGTTAGCCGTTATATGCCTATATACTATGTGTGTTTTAATTAAAGGTCTGCCGGTATAAAGCGGAAGCGAGCGCAGAGCGCTCATGTTTTACGCTGAGGAGCCGAAAGGTGTCCAGTCCGCCGCGAAGGTACAGCAAGCATGGCGACGGGACAAGACATCTCCGTTCCCTCCTCAGGGAATGGGGGTTAACATACGTAACCGAGACGTTCCCTTTCGTTCGGAAACTCTTACGTTTTGGAGGAGTTTCCAACGAATTGGGATCTCTAATAACAAGCCATGGTGCTGGCCCCTTTATTATCTTTATTGCAGGAGCTAGCTAGGAAGAATCACACTGCTGTTCCACAAGACCCGCTCAGTGGATTTGGATAACACTAGGGAAGCATGTAGGAGGGATCGCTGCGGAGCCCCTGCCCACCCGGAGGGAGGCACTGGAATACACATATGCACTTACCCGTGGGGTAGTGAAACATATGGCAGTCCCTGAGTAGTCCCTCAGTCCCTGGGTAGTGAAACATATGGCAATCCCTGGCAGTCCAAGGGGTGGGAGCGTAGTCAGCAGGGATGACAGAACGGTCTGTCAAGGGGAAGACACGGTGCTAACCCGGAGGGCAGTTGGAACATGGAAGAAATGAGTCGCTGTAGTGACCCCTGTTAAAACCACCCGGTCTAATAACAACTCCTACAAGAGGTAATAGAACTGGGGCCGGGCGCCTCGCCTGGTGCCGAAGGGGTGATGGAGGAACTCACAAGGTTACCCGTTTGTTGGGGAACCAACGGAGCATAAAGATAGCCGTAGCGAGTACACGGGAGGAAACAGGTTAAACACGGAGACTATAGAATTTAGTGAACAGGTTAGGTGTCGCCCAGCCCGCAGCTATACAGATGTCTGTCAGTGAGGCGCCTTGCGCCAGTATCCAGGAGGAGGCGACACTCCTAGTGGAATGTGCTGTCAACCTAGGTGGGCAAGGCACGTCCTGGGACTCATAAGCCCGGACAATAGCATCCACTAACCAGTGGGCTAACCTCTGCTTGGAGACAGCCTTCCCCTTCTGCTGGCCTCCGTAGAAGATGTCCTGAAGCTTTGTGTTCTGTTCACGTAACAACGCAGAGTGAAAGCTAGGGCTGGGTCTGCCTCCTCCGGGGGCAGCGCTTGCAGGTTCACTGCCTGATTTACGAACGGAGTGGTAGGAACCTTGGGCACATATCCGAACTGGGGTCTCAGAACAACATGTGAAAGGCCTGGTCCAAACTCCAGGCACGATTCGTCGACCGAAAATGCCTGCAGATCCCCTACGCTCTTAAAAGAAGCCAAAGCCAACAGGAGAGCGGTCTTCATAGACAGGATATTTAACTCAACCGAACCGTCGGTAAGAGCTCAAAAGGGGGCCTCTGGAGTGCTCTAAGCACTAGAGCTAAAGGGTTAGTTTGGTATTTTCTGTGTTAGCACCCCCCACCGACACAATGGTTGTCTATGTGCACTGGAACAATCATTCATAAAACGCATTAAACTTTAGTTTACAAAGATGAAGGCCAGTCACACCGTGTATAGAGTCGGCGGGCGGGCTTAACATAATGACGATGAGTTGCGACGGTTCACTGCTACTTGAAAACAAAGAATGGCTGCTGCTGGCGAACAGCTTTCTTTGATTCGGCTGTGACCGCTACTCTGGATGATTTAAACTTAAGCTTTTTCTTTGAAACCAGAACAAAAAAAAAAAAGAAAAAAAGTAAAAAAAAAAAAAAAAAAAGTTTAACGGTAAAAGTTTAACATATCAACTTGCTCCGCTGGTGGGAAAACGCATGGGACTCAGCAGTCACCTTCTTCATTGCTCTGATTGGTTGTAGCACTATCCAATTGCGTGCAGCGAGAATTTGAAAGACAACCGTTTGGTGTGGTGATGTTTATGATATTGGGCCCTATTTTAACGATCTGAAAAGCAAGTGTCAAATCGCAAAGCGCAAGTAACTTTGTGAGCGGATCCCGGCACTGTTGCTATTTTCCCAGCTGGATAAATGCCTCTTGCGCCTGGCGCAAATCTAAAAGGGGTTGGTTTGAAATAGCTTCATTATTCATAGGTGTGGTTTGGCCGTAACGGAAATAAACCAATAAGAGCGTCATATCACATTCCCTTTAAGAGCATGATGAACGAGGTGCGCTTGTTCCATGGCACAATTCTATTTTAACGGCGCATTTACCAGACGCGCTTCAGCATCGGTTCACAGCCGAGGAGATCGATGTTCTCGTCAGGGCCGTGAAAGCAAGAGAAGTGACATTGGGGATAGGACAAACTCACCCAAATTAGCTTCAGTTAAACATGCATATAATAATTTGGGTAAATCGTAAATGTGTAAGCTTTATGCCTATTTTTCCCATCGTCATGGACACAACAATGATTTCCGTCATGTTTATATATTTTCCTTATAATAATGTGTCATTTGCAAAAAGTAAAATGCATCTGTGTAGATGAGAGAATCCTCTACAGTGTATGCGCGTTGTTCACACTCTGTATTATGGCCAAGAGTGCGCGCTTTAAATATCTGAATGTACGCGCAACGCGCCACTGACTTTAGACCAGGTTTTTTCTGGTCATTGGTGCAATTGTTTTGTGGGACTGCAAAATAGAACCAGGGATTGTTTGCGCCGACACACGCCTCCTTTTTGCGCTAACCCGTCCAGGGATCGCAAGTTCATTTCCTAGTTTACCGGCGTGCGTCTGTGGAGGAAAAAAGCCCGCTTTGCGCGAGTACAAAATAGGAATGATAAATTCGTCAGTGAATAAAGTCATTTGCGCCGGGTGCAAAATAGAGCCCATTCTGTTGCTTCTTACACTTTTCATGGCTTGTCCAGTGAGTGGCTCTAAGCACGTCTAGGTTTATCCAAAACAGATTAACTTCTACACCATTTAGATATCTCGAATCCTGTGATAAACAAATAACTGTAAATAGTCTCAAAGACCTGTAAAAGTAAGTTAAAATAAAAATGACATATTTGGTCTTCATAACCTGGTACTTTGAAGATCGAAATGACTGTGTAAATGATGTCGATAACCACAACATATGAGTATTAAAAGGATCTTTTATAGTTCTTCATCAGCTAACCTGAATTTTTTATTTGGTAATTTACGTCCGAGACCTTTAAACCTTTGTTTGAAAGCGCACGCTCCGGACCCATCTGCCAACCACGTGACGCTCAGACGGAACACACACGAGACGAGGCTGCTCACCCTTTGCATTCAACGTGGACCACCTCAAGAACCCAAACGAACGCCTCAGCACACTCCTGGAAAAATCATCAAGAATCTCAAGAATATCCTGCATCTGGACTTGTTCAGCAACCAAAACCAATGCAAGTACCCGTTTGCAGCCTTTAGATGCGTTTCTAAGTTATTGTGCCCCTTTAAGGTGACCCTGATTCTCTGATGTTTCTCGTAGGTTGTGTTTAACTGGTTATAATCTTGCCATTCTCTTTTCTTCTAATCTCTTTCTTCACTTTCCTGATTCTGTATACAATCTTTGCTAAGTTTAGTTGTGTGTGTAGCCCAGTAGTTTTGTTTTTTAAACCATATTTACACGTTATTATCAGTGTTTTAGTTATACTGTAGCAGCCATAATATTTCAACAAAGATCCTCATGTTCTGGAAATAGCAACAAAAAAGGGAAGAACATCACAAATGCACAAAAAACTATTTAGCCCTCATTCATGGACAGTCTTGGCAACTGGTAAAATTAAAATGGGCTCTGAATGCCCTGGAAAACAAGAAGTAAATAAGTGGATCCAAGGAGGCATTTAGTCCCGCAAACAGGGTGGACAACTCCTTCAGAATGTGTAACACATGGAGTGCTGAACAGTCATGCAGCAGGGGTTGGATGAACATGGCAGGCAGATACACCAGATGAAAGGGCACAAAGCACACGCAGAAAATGACTATTAGCACTAGCATGTTGCGCTTTGAATTTCTGAATGTTTGGCTATTGAATGTGGTCTGTGTAGAGAGTTGAACTTGTCTTAGCTTTTGAAGAATCTTCCAGTATAAAGGAATCAGGGACACCAGGACAAAAATGAAGATCAAAAAGCACACACATCTGATGATTTTGTTGGCCAAACTTAACTTGAGACTGTGTTGGGATCCACAGCTTAATTCATCCAGCTTTTGATCGAGACCCCAGGAGTTCTGAGGAATGAGGATCAAGTAGATGGAAGATAAGGCTAACATGAAGAGCCAAATTGCTGCAGAAATGTGGCGAGCGATACAAACTGTCTGTAGTCCAGTACTCTCCAATGGCTGGACAATCTTCAGGTACCTGAAAAGAGAGTAAAGAGCATTATCAATAGAACTTTACATTTAAATGCATTTTTTGACATGTAATCATGTACACATACAGCATGAAAATCCTCAACATTTATTCAATTTGTCAGTTATCTGATGTGTCTATCAGTGATGCGCGGGTTGATCCGAAATGAGCGGGTGCCTGCGGTCACCCGCGGTTACCCGCAGTTACGGGTCATCCAAAAATGTTTTTAATGATATTCGGGTCGCGGTCGGTCGGGTCGTTTGAAAAAAGATGCCAATTAAACATTTGTATTAATATAGTACTAGACACAATGTTTGATGAAATATACAGCCCTACACATTATTGACTGCAATAACTGGCACGAAGATAACACACAAGCTCAGTCTAAACAGTTCTAGAACCGCTGTCCCTGTGCGCAGTATCAGCTGCTCGTGCTCATCACTTCTCTCAACAGTGGCACATGTCTCGGTTCAGTGAACTGTTGGAGTTACTGGAGTAAAATATAATTCAGGATATTGATTTATTTCGATTCGTAGGCAACTGTCAGGCATGTCTGAAAGTGAGTAACTTTAGTAACTTGTGGATCAGCACTGATGCAAGACGCGAACTGTTTCGAACGATTCAGTTCGATTTAGTGTAATGGTTCGACCGGTTCACTAAAAAGAACCGGTTCAAAAGAACGATTCGTTCACGAACCGGCCATGTCTATGATCACTACAGTCTGCAGAGAGATGGAGGCGGCAAGAGTAAATGTGAAGACTGGGGAGTGGAAGCTCCGCAAATACACAAATAGAAAGAGTAAAAGTGCGGGAGACATTTGCTGAAATAATGAAAGATGATGGCGAAAGTGCTGGCTTTGCCTTTGTTATGTGTAGGACGTCTTCTTGCGATGCTGTGTTGTTACACGTCTATGGCCCAATAACGCTCTGATGAGCATTTACTACTTTTAAAAAATGCGGTCAGGAAGCGGGTCGGGTACAAAATTTTTTTACGGTCCGAGTTGCGGGCGGGTAGTTGAAAACGTCGGTCGGTTGCGGGTTGTTTATACATTGACCCGTGCATCACTGGTGTCTATCCAAATATTACAGTAGACTTATAAAAGAAACATGGAGCAACCAGTGTTTAAGAGCTTTGATCATAATGCTTTCATGGATCATATCCTGTTGGAACTGAACAAGCAATGTCCCACACAGCAAAAGGACTCCCTGGCGGATCTGCCGCAGAGGTATCGTGGATTCCGGAACGGACCCGCGAAACGGACCCGTATCGGCGTTCACTTGTGCGCAGTGACGGATCCGTAACGAAGGCGGATTGCGGACCCGCTGTGGCTCCGCGCTGCATCCGCGATTCAATACATACATTCGCCACGGACCCGTAACGGACTCATAAAAATTTCAGTAAAGGCGCGTCCGAGGATCCGACATGGGTCCGCACTGGATTGGCTATTTGACAGCAGAATTTACAGCGCCGCTCGGAGGTGGAGCTGATCCTCTGTGCGGCCCCAAAACGAATGTGACAGTCACGCGGGTTTGGCGACTTGAACGCGGATCCGCCTAGGAGTCTCCTGCTGTGTGGGGTATTTAGTTTAGTTGAGTTTGTGCGCACGATCATTGGTATCTAAGCAATAATGCATAAACTCGACAATCGACTACTGTGGACTTCGACCGAAAACAGGAAGTATGTAGGTATGTGCGCTGGCTGATTTAACATCATTTTTATTACTATCTTTTACATCTACTGCAGTATAATTGACCATGGTCACTCTTAATAACACCACTCACATGGTTGTGAATTTGTAATTACAAATCAAGGATGTTAAGAGGCTAAAAGCAGGTTTAGGACTAGCCCCATTGAAGTCAATAGGGTGCGAATTTTAAAAAGAGGATAACACTGTGTAGGCAACACCAATTTTTGTCGTTTTTGTCTGTACTGACAGCAATGCAAATGTACAAAAAAATTAGCTCCATGTTAAAATTGACTGAAGTTCTCATTTAAGCTAACTCATTTCATTTAAGGAAACCAATCGCTTTAATTAATTTAAGTTTATTAAAAAACAATAGTTATGAGTACTCTGAACTTATTTTATTTGAGTTCACTAAAACAATAATATTTCTTAAAACACTGTAAAACCTAACAGTAATATTTACTCAATTAAATTGAGTTCACTGCACTCAAATAATACTGAAATTGAGTTTGTGGCTTGAATGACTGAAACAGAACTCAAACTGAATGAGTTATAGAACATTTCTAGACCCCAGAATGATAAATGAATAATAATTGTATAGTTAAGTTGATTAATCATCAATTAAGTGATGATTGCTCATTAGTGAACACCTGCTGTTAAAGGAACATTTCACCCATTGCAACATTAATCTTTATTGAAAGTGGATCATATATGTAGTCGAAATGTAAAATAATTTTTTTAAAGGTGCTCTAAGCGATGTCACACGTTTTTTAGGCCCAAACATTTTTGGTCACATACAGCAAACATGTCCTCCATTATCTTTGAATGATAATGAAAGACACCTGTGAGGTGCACGCCGGTCTTGCGTCTCTCAGGGAGGAGCGAAAGCATAAAATGGGGAGCGAAGACGGCAGATCGAGAGAGAAACAGGCCTGATTTTATGTTTTGTTTCTGTTGTGTGTAACCACAACAAACCCCGTTCACGTTACATTGGCAAATTATTAGTGAATTACTCCTCGTTTGTATTTGAAGAGTTCAGATGCAAAAGCCTCTAAATGCCATTTGAAATTTTCTTCTAGAATGGTCATTTTTATCAAGCTTGTATATTTAAGTTCAGTAATTTCACTTAAATGGTAAGCCTACTGTTATAAATGGTAAAACTACTGTTATAGTGACTTCAAATGAAACACATTAAATTTAAACCCCTATTAATTGTCAATAAAAAAAAACTTTACTAGACATCTGACAGAAATTAAAGTCAATCTGGTTAGTTATAAGTGAAACTGGTAATGCTGTTTGTGGAGTTGTTTAATCCTCCTCTGCTGAGATCTTGAGAGATTTAATTTCTTATTGTATCTTCACTTGATTACATCTATGGCTGAAAGTCAGTTGTAGTTCTTGTGTTTCTGCTCGTCTGTTTTTCTGTTTTCTTTAGTGATTCTACTTGTTAACAGGGGCTTATGAAGGCTGAGATGACTCCTTATCTAATATACACAGATTTTGTGGCTCAGATTAGGCTGCTTGTGGCCCACATCTGGCAAACAGGAGTGAGCCACCCAAGGGACATCATTCCACGCTGCATGTGGGCCAGATCATCTTTCCACATAGACCAGATGTGGGCTGGATCTGGGACATCACAATGTTGCTATGTGGGTGGCTATCTCCCCTTCTGACCACTAGACTGGGAGGGGGGCGGATACAAACAGCGCTACTGCAACACACATCCCCACAGATCTGGCCCGTCGTTGATGAGCAGTGGAGTATCTCTTCATCAAGCCAACGCACACACTGACACTGAAAGCACACTGAAACTTTTGCAGCAGGAACATGACATCATTACAAATGTTCATCCTAGAAAAAAATTCACATTTTTGTACTTCTGAGAAATTAAGTGATGACAACTAGCATTAGGCATGTTACCTGTTTACAGCAATGGCGTCCATGAAGAGAATGCTTGAATACAAGGTTGCTCCTGTAAAGCTGCAGTAAATTTTGAACATTATGTCTGAATTATTGGCAGAGGACACAATGCGCAAAAGTAAACCAAGGCAAATAAAGAAGTCAGCTACAGCCAGGTTCTTCATGTAAACCGTGATGCTGGACTGGGCACGCAGATTAGTGCAAAAATACACACGCATCGTGATACAGTTCAGCACCAGACTGATGAGAAAGACTAGGGAGTATGCAAATATGAAAACATAATTAGTTGTAAATTTACAGAGAGGTTGTGTTGTATTTGTCATGTTTAGTTCCATGGTGTCATTTTTGAAAGTTGTGAAGATAGCTGCAGGCACTGGAGACTCCATCTATGTAAGCAAGAAAACATACAGGTCTCACCCACAGGACTTTGAAAGAATTCCACAGTAGGCTACCCAATGGTCTAACCCAACTATTTAACACCTTAAAATAATAATAACAATACTAAAATAATAATAATTAAAATTATTAATATAAAATATAAATTACACACACACACACACACACACACACATATATATATATATATACATATATATAGAAAGATAGATGTATATGAAGAGTTCAGATGCAAAAGCCTATAAGTGCCATTTGAAATTTTCTTCTAGAATGATGATTTTGATCAAGTTTGTACATTTAAGTTCAGTGATTTCACTTAAATGGCAATGATAATTACCTATTAATTGTTATTTAAGTGAAATTACTGAACTTAAATATACAAGTTTGATAAAAATCATCATTAAAGAAGAAAATTTCAAATGGCATTTAGAGGCTTTTGCATCTGAACTCTTCATATATATATATATATACAAACCCAATTCCATAAAAGTTGGGACACTGTACAAATTGTGAATAAAAAAAGAATGCAATGATGTGGAAGTTTCAAATTTCAATATTATATTTAGAATACAACATAGATGACATATCAAATGTTTAAACTGAGAAAATGCATAATTTTAAGGGAAAAATAAGTTGATTTTAAATTTCATGGCATCAACACATCTCAAAAAAGTTGGGACAAGGCCATTTTTACCACTGTGTGGCATCCCCTCTTCTTTTAATAACAGTCTGCAAACGTCTGGGGACTGAGGAGACAAGTTGCTCAAGTTTAGGAATAGGAATGTTGTCCCATTCTTGTCTAATAAAGGCTTCTAGCTGCTCAACTGTCTTAGGTCTTCTTTGTTGCATCTTCCTCTTTATGATGCGCCAAATGTTTTCTATGGGTGAAAGATCTGGACTGCAGGCTGGCCATTTCAGTACCCGGATCCTTCTTCTACGCAGCCATGATGTTGTAATTGATGCAGTATGTGGTTTGGCATTGTCTTGTTGGAAAATACAAGGTCTTCCCTGAAAGAGACGATGTCTGGATGGGAGCATATGTTGTTCTAGAACTTGGATATACCTTTCAGCATTGATGGTGCCTTTCCAGATGTGTAAGCTGCCCATGCCACACGCACTCATGCAACCCCATACCATCAGAGATGCAGGCTTCTGAACTGAGCGCTGATAACAACTTGGGTTGTCCATGTCCTCTTTAGTCCGGATGACACGGCGTCCCAGTTTTCCAAAATGAACTTCAAATTTTGATTCGTCTGACCACAGAACAGTTTTCCACTTTGCTAGAGTCTACTTTAAATGAGCCTTGGCCCAGAGAAAACGCCTGCGCTTCTGGTTCCCGTTTAGATATGGCTTCTTTTTTGACCTATAGAGCTTTAGCCGGCAACGGTGAATGGCACGGTGGATTGTGTTCACTGACAATGTTTTCTGGAAGTATTCTTGAGCCCATGTTGTGATTTCCATTACAGTAGCATTCCTGTGTGTGATGCAGTGCCGTCTAAGGGCCCGAAGATCACGGGCATTCAGTATGGGTTTCCGGCCTTGACCCTTATGCACAGAGATTGTTCCAGATTCTCTGAATCTTTGGATGATATTATGCACTGTAGATGATGATAACTTCAAACTCTTTGCAATTTTTCTCTGAGAAACTCCTTTCTGATATTGCTCCAGTATTTTTTGCCTCAGCATTGGGGGAATTGGTGATCCTCTGCCCATCTTGACTTCTGAGAGACACTGCCACTCTGAGAGGCTCTTTTTATACCCAATCATGTTGCCAATTGACCTAATAAGTTGGTCCTCCAGCTGTTCCTTATATGTACATTTAACTTTTCTGGCCTCTTATTGCTACCTGTCCCAACTTTTTTGGAATTTGTAGCTCTCATGAAATCCAAAAGGAGCCAATATTTGGCATGGCAATTCAAAATGTCTCACTTTCAACATATATATACGGTATATGTCAAATTAACTAGTGGCCAGTTGCATGAAGCTGGTGTCAGGTGCTACCCAGGGGTGCGTTTCCCAAAAGCATCATTAGCCAAATATGGTCGCAAGTTGTTCGCAATTTCCATTAAACTCTGTTGGAAAACGACGGAACTTGCGACCATAGTTGGCTAACGATGCTTTCGGGAAACGCACCCCAGGTAAGTTTGAGACTAGTTTGAGCAACCTCAACAGTTTTTTTCAGGTTCAAAAAGGTGAATTGTTTTTTTAGCAGGTTTCATCACTATGATAATTTACACAACATGGCTAACCTGCTCCGCAGTAGGTTTTTCTCTTTCAGGGTTAGAAATCACAGACCTAAACTGGACCAATCAATGGTGAGTAAAGTGTAGCTAATGCAATAAAGCAACTCCCTCTGTATCTTTCAAGCTTCTCCAAATTAAAGAGTTAAATAATTTTAGACAAAATCACTCATCTTTTGCTGCTAATTACTCATATTATATGAATTGTAATTATGCATAATTCATGTAATATATTCATAATTATTATATTAATTTACAAATAATGTTAAACTTTGAATTAATAATAATTATAATAATAATAAACTATATATATATATATGTTCTCATCCCAAGGCGTCATACGACGTAGACAGCGTAGACATCCAACGCACATGGCACCCTTTAGCGTCGATATGACACAGATATGGGCCAGAAGGCGCCTCCTAGTGGTCTATCCCTAACCCTACCCCAGACCTATACCCATAACCGAAGTGTGTTATATTGACGCTAAAGGGTGCCATGTGCGTTGGATGTCTACGCCTTAGCAAAAGCGTTGTAGGGTTGCCAACCGTTCCGTATAATACGAAATCGTTCCATATTTGACACATAAAAGTCTTGTTCCGTATTGAACTGATACGGAACGCACTTTGTTCCATATTTTTGAGAATCAGTTCAGTGCAAATCCATGACAGACACATCTTCTAATATATCTCAGACAGACTATGAATGAAGACCTCACCAGTTGAGCCACTCGCGGTCGACTTTTTACCGCAAAGCATGCATGCAAGACACGTTGAGCTTCTAACGGCGCGGACGCAAAACCAGGACTGGAGTCAAAGCACATTCCTCACTGCACTCTAAGCGTTCTGTTATCACTCCAATTTCGTCCACTATGGGTTTTCCAGTCTCACTCACAGGAAAAACTGCTCCGTGTTCAATCGATTTTAAAAGATAATTGTTTTACTGACTGCTCCCCCGCAAGAATTGTTTTTTTTAAATACATTTTAAGGTTAAATGCATCAGTCTCATGTTCTTTGAGAGATCAAAATTAAGAGCTTCAACCCATGAACTGCTCGTTAAACAAAGATAAAGCATTGATTTGTACTAGGACAATAAAGAGGGCTCAAACATCGTTTTAGTTATGAGAGTCTCAGTCTACATTACATTATCAATGGTGTTTTAGGATGCCAAACAATTATTATAATAATGTAATAATGATTTAGCCTATATAATTATTCCTATGATGTAAAATCCATATAGCCTATAAATGTAGGCTACTATATAATGAAAATGAATATTTCAAAAGTATATTTTTAATCAACAGTACACTATATTTTAGGAAAATTAAAATAATTTTGTCCTATTTCTACACTTGTAAGAAATAAACCCTGGAGCTTTTATTTAGAAGAAAACAGATAGCCATGCTAATCGCGTGAGCAAAGTGCACTGCACACGTTTCTCTAAATCACGCAGCACAAACAGAATGCCTATTCTTAAAGGACAACTCCAGCGCAAAATGAACGTTTGGTCTAATTACACATTGTTAACAAGTCAACCGTTATCTGAGATTTGTTTTCATGATTGCCGAATGTAAATAGTTATATCTCTAAAAACAGTTTAGCCTTTAACGCTAGTATTGAGAATGAGGAGTTGACGTCATTTTACAGAGCCCCTCCCCTCTCCGCCATGTTGGTTGGATTCCCACGGCAAAACAGTATTGATTACATGTGTTTCTCGCAATACCACACAGTTTTTTTACCATGCCTGGAAGTAACTGCTGCGTTAAAAACTCCTCCAGTAACTCACACGATACATATGGAAAACATAGGAACAATGGAATTAAGTTTTTGGGGTTACAGAAATTGACACAGCAGGGAGAGTCTGATCTAACGAGGAGACGCTGGATTGCTAGGTTTGCTGATGCCTTTAGTATACGATTTTCACTGATTGCTGTGCCTTAACGAACATATGCAAAAGTGTTGTTTGAGTGCCTTGTTCATTACTTTTTTAATTCATTGAAATAAATGTTTGAAACAACTTGATATGGCTTAACAATATTTATTGAGAACTGAAATATATAGACTATTTGGACAACATAAGTTTCATGGACAACATAAGTAATAATAATAAAATAATAATACTGTTATTAGTGCAAAAGAACAAATATATTGATGGTGCTTCTCCAAATACAGCTGTTTTGCACTTTGTGTGAGTTTGTTCCTGTAAGGTCCCTTTTCTTTCGCCTTGTCTTTTAGCATTGCTTTACGTTCTTCCTTTTTTTCTCGTATTCTTAAATCTGTCTCTGTCCTGCCAAAAAAATAAATGCGCGAAAATTAAAGAGCTCTGGAATGTTTAGTCGCGTCTATGGGTTCTAAAGGCGTTGCCCCTGGTAACCGATAGCGTCTCCTACCATCATGGCCGACCGGCTCAGACCCCGCCCAAATCGGCACGTGACTCCTCATTCTCAATAGCGCGGGAATTGAAGATCGGATTTATATCCGTTTTGCAAAAACACATTTATGTGACCAGGTGTAAATGGAATCGTTTTGATAAATCAGATAGCTGTTTGATCTTAGAAAACGCATGAAGTGGCCAGGTCACACTCTAAACGTGTCAAACTGTAACCTATAACCTCAAACCAAACACACATTCACTTTTAAAAGCAAAACATTTTATCCAACCCCATTTCAAATCTTTTGGACATTAAT